GATGTTTATTTATATAATTATATTTGATAATAAAAAATATTTAATTTATAATAAATAATATATACATTATTAAATAAATTTATTATAATTAAAATTTATAACAAATATTATTTTTAAATATATACATTATATGGTCAAGTTATGATGAATAATTTAAATTTTTATTCAAAGTTATTTCTAATTATCGGTAATGTATTTTAAAATAAATTAAAATAAACAAATTTAAAAATAAAGATAAAAAATATAAATTAAAATGGGTAGACAATTAAAATACATATTAAAATACAAAGGCGGTACGTAGTTTAACACGATTAAATGGAAACTTTGTCGACAGTTGAAAAAATATTGTGTTGGTTACATATTTTATGTAAAAAGAAAAAAATATTGAAAATATTTATAATAATAACATGAGTGATGAGAATGAAAATCATTAATTTTTATTTTTTTAACTAATAATATAATAGAGAAGGTTTAAGTTTTGTGATTGAGAAAAATATAATTAATAAGTAAAATCTTATTAAAAATAGTTGGTTAGATTTTGAGAAGGATTATTAAAATATTAATGAATATAGGCACTTGTTTTTGTTTTAAAAGAAAAAATACACTACTTTCTTTTTATAAGCTGAACTGTAAATTTTGCATACCAAGGTAATGATTATTTAAATAGAAAATGAAAGCCAATGTTTCAAGGTAAAGTCTCAATAAACACTTGTTTATCACATGATCACGTGACTCCAGTGGCTGCTGATTTAGCAGTGATTTCTATGAGTAATAAATTAATGACCGACATGCCTTATGCAACAGGCAAACAATTTTCCACTTTTTGTGGTTTTTCCTAATCTGTTTCTTAATTGTCAATGCTAATTTGCTATCCCTGTTATTGTTAACCAACATAATAATATTTTTTTTTCTTAAGGATCTTTCACCACAATACTTTAATTATGTAGCAACATATTTTTTAATAAAAAATTATAACTTATTTCCACACCACGGATTTTATAAAAAGTTAATCACCTATATATTATCAGTGTAAAAAATTTTTACACCGACAACTAATTAGATTTGTTAATAGTACATTTTTTATTTTAATTTAATTAAATAAGCAAATGACATGTTACTATTAATAGATCTGATTAATTATCAGTATAAAAAAAAATTTATACTGACAATGTATAGGTGATTAATTCTTTTATAAGAATAAAGTGACACTCATCTTCATTTTTTAAAAATGTGACAACCATAACCATTTGAATATATATATCATAACCAATAACGCAATCACATTCACAGTAGCATTAATATTGTAAAAGTTTCATTGCGTAATGGAAAGGAGAGGGTTCAAATGATCAATTCGTGACAGCATGCTTTCCTCAACCATCAACCCATTTTTCTTTAATAAAGGTGTTCAGAAGTAAATGATTCATGTGAAATATGTAGCAAGAAAAAGAATTGAAGTAGAAGCACACAAACCCAGAAAGATTAATCAGGCAAGGCGCTAATTAGCCTAAAACCAAGGCAAGCATAAAAAATTGCTGCACATGAATGAACAAAAACATGGCAAGTTAAGGATCATCAAAGTATAACTAATGTCATAGGTGGTTTATGCAAGTTATCTACACACACAAGCATATCTTCCAGCTTAAGAAAAGGTTTCTGACAACTCGGCAGAGCATCAAATTCTGCCTCCTGTTTGTAGTTTCTGCTCATGTCTCTTTGGACACTGAAGGCGTAGTTGTTTGTTGAAGAGTTCATCCTAAATTAAAGTTAATTCTAAATAAAATTCATGTTCCAAAATTCCCTTTTGGCATAATGTTATAAACTTTGGGTGAGTTCATCCCATCCCTCCATGTGTTCGTTTTCTCATGGTTAACGAAATATCTAACTATTTCTTGATCCCATTGAATTCAACCTGTAAGGAAGCTTAACAGGTTGTGCATTTTAACTCCTTGCATGTTGTGTTTAGGTTGTTGTTTGTATTCTTGGGATCAGTTCAAGTAAATTTCTTCAAAAACACTTTGATAAGAGTAAAAAATGAGATAAGTTTCTCTTGAATCCAAATTTAGTTTATACATAAGTTAATTTGTAGAAAATAAAAATTCACCCTTATTAATTTTTTCATAATTTTATTTTTAACTCATGCATAAGTGCTTCTCAAAGAAACTTATTGAAAGAGACTCTAGTATTATGTGTAGGCTTTGCCTCATTTTATTTTACTTTTTTCTCATACCTGCAATTGTGCCCTAAGTCAAAGGGATTGAAAATGATTAATTGCAGAAAAGATAACTGGTGGGTATGTCTACTTGTTTTGCAGCTAGCATTTGACAAATTGATAGAACCGAACAAGAAAACATGCACATAACGTTCATCCCAGGAGAACTACAAGACCTATGGGATGTTTGGGGCCTAGAAATACTTGTGCTGTTGAGTTTCACAATCCAAGTGATTCTGACAGTGTATGGGAGCCGCAGAAAGGACATCCCAGGTATGTGGATAAGGTTCACTGTTTGGTTAACCTATTTGCTGTCTGCTTCCCTTGCAAAAATCATCATAGGCAAGCTAACGGTAATACCTGGAAGCGATCCAAACGAACGCAACATCATACGCGAACTGAAGGCATTGTTTGCACCATTACTTCTGGTGCAAATTGGAAACCCAGATGCCATAACTGCATACTCAATTGAAGATAACAGATTGGGACTGAGGCAGTTGCTCACCCTTGTTCTCCAAGTAGCTGTGGTGATTTGGATCATCATAAAGAGTTGGACACATTCAGCACTCTCTTATCTCTACTTGCCGTTACTCACATCAGGACTAATCAAGCATGGAGAAGTTGTTTGGGCTCTAAAGTCAGCACTTAGTAAAAGTTCAGGCATAATTACGATTCAAGAGATTGACCAAGAAGCCAACATGCCTGCTTTATTCAGATTCCTTCCTGAGGATATTCCCAACATAGAGTTGATTTTAAAGGCGTATTACCGCTTTATCTCGTTGAAGCCTCATCGTGAGAACTGGCTCTACCAGCCTCTATATGAATCCCTTCCCCGTATATCTATAGATGAGTATGCACCAGAAGACATCTTCCAGATCACAGATGCTGAATTGAGCTTCATGTACGATGTGCTCTACACCAAGGCACCTATAATCTACACCAAAGCAGGTTGTATTCTTCGTGCCCTAAGCTTTTTCAATTTAGTTCTAACGTTGTGTGGATTTTCTGTGATATTTAGACGAGACTTTTCACGCGATTGGAAGGCATGTTTTATAGTTGGGGTGTTAGGAGGAGCAGTTCTTATGGAGGCATACCAGATTGCACAGTTACCCTTCTCAGATTGGGCCATAATTCAAATGATCAAGCACCAAAATCTTCCACTTATGATTCCATGCCTCAGAATTCTGGGACCCCGTGCAAGGAATTGGAAAAGGTGGTCAAACACATTGCCACAGTTCAACTTGCTGAGCTTTTGCATCCATGACAAGCCGTTAACATGTGGCAAAATTCTGAAATTCCGGGGCTTTGACATGGGGTTGAAAAAGAACAAGTGTAGGACACGCATAAAGTTTCCCCAAGAATTGAAAGCTTTGGTGGTGCAAGAAATGAAAGATATCGACGAAGACAGAAGACTAAAGCCCTTCCACCAAAGAGGGGAATGGTCACTCAGCAGGTATGGCTCTCTCAACGATTTCAAATGGAGTGTTAAACGAGACTTTGACAAGAGCATTGCAATATGGCACATTGCCACAGATATCTGCTACTATTCAGATACTCAAACTCATTGCAATAATGCTTCAAGCCCCAAAATCCAAATGGCCAAATTATTGTCCAATTACATGATGTATCTCCTAGCCATGCGTCCTCACATGCTGTCCACCACCACTGCCAAGATAGTATTTCGACACGCTTGTGATAAACTAAAGGATTTGGGTGTGAAAGATGAAAAAGAAGCATGTAGGATTTTGAGAATGGAAAGAGTTCCCCAGTATTCAAATTCGGAGAGGAAATCAGAGACTGTTGTCACATCAAAATGGCACATGTTAAAAGATGCGCAGAGACTGACTAGGAATTTGATGGCAAGGGAGAATAGATGGCAGATCTTGTGTAGTGTGTGGGTGGAGATGTTGTGTTATGCTGCAGCTAATTGTTCTATAGATTATCATTCTGAACAAATAAGGAGAGGTGGAGGATTGGTAACTCATATTTGGATTCTGTTAGCCCACAAGACAGATAAATATCACATCAGTGACTAGTAATGCATGCAGCAGTTGGATTGGTTTTTATGAAATGGGATCTATATTTATTAACAAGTACTAGTGGTTTGACACAAAAATGTTTTGTAATGGTTAATAATAGTAAAATATTAATTTGGTTCGGAATTATTATTATCGATCTCTTATATTGTGAAGAAAAAAAAATTAACTTCGCTAATTAAAATCGATTAATTTTGTTATAGGTTTCAACTTTTGGACGTCCCTTTACATGCAACACCCTGTGATCTAAAAATTTTAAGTAGTAGAAACGATATTTATACATAAATTTGTAGTATTAAATGTGTAATTTACATTTTTGTGAAATATAAATATATATCAAATTATTTTCTATGAGATTTCATATTTTAAAAATATTGAATGATTTTCTCATATTCAACACTTTCATTTCTTTCTATATCCCAAATAAAAATTTTGACATTTTTTTCATTTTAAAAATAGTATAATATGAATTTAGGTTAATCATCACTCCTTAATTTTTTTACCAACTTGACTTAATTATAATTAGTACTTTCTGTCTCATTATCTCATAACAATTATGGTTTTAAGTTGTTCTACATATGCTAGAAAAAGAAATTTTGTGATTAATCTTCTTTACTATAAACAATGCAATACAATATTCACTTTCTAAAAAATATTATGATGGGTATAAATGAAAAAAATTAATATTATATTGAAAAGTTAACATAACACTTATTTTAATATTTATTTTTTTTTCAAACATGACTCTCATTACGAGCCAAAGTATATTATATATATTGTGAAGAAATACTTCAAAAACTTAATATATTAACTTTGACTTTTTCAACAAAATAAAAATATAGAAAAGAGTGAGAACACTTAGTTTTTAATATGGCAAGTGTGAGTACATTATTATAAATTTATAATGGGCTTAAATATGTTTTTAATATTTCAAATTTAAAGTAAATTTATTTTTAATCTCTCAAATTGAAAATTGATCTTTTTATTCATTGTAATTTCAAAAAATCTTGCTTTAGTTTTTATACTCAAATTTTGTTAAAAGATCTATCAAATATTGCCACCTAAAATCTATTTATTGACGTCTTTATTAGTAAAAAATATTACATTAAATTCAGTTAAAATTATATTACTATCTTAATTTGTCATTTTATATATGTTATTGATAACTTAAGAAACTAAAATAAGATTTTTAAAAATTATAGAAATTAAAAACAACAATTTTAAAATTAAGAGCATAAAAATATATTTAAATCTTAATAATATATATTATATATATATATATATATATTAATTAAATATAAAAAAAAACGTTAGTGGAGGCAAATGCCCCCACTTTCATACATGTGGATCCGTCAATGCCTGTGACATCCGCATGAAGACAAAAGCCAGTTAGCATTTTTTCCTTTTATTTTAATTGGATGAAAAAATTCTAATTTTTTAATTTATTTTAAACAATTTTAAAATGAAAAACAAAACAAATTAGTGAAGTATTCAATCAAAATCAGGATCCTCTCCAGCGATATACATACAACATCTCTCCATCAGGATCTCAACCGTCCATTTTCTTATACATCTAACGGTTATAAATAAAATTTCATTTTTGCTCTTTAATATTTTCACGTGAATAAAAATTCGATCCTCTTGTTTCATTTTTCCTCTTTGATGTTCGTTCGCGACAACATCGCGCAGTTCGCTCTCGAGCTCAGGATCTGCGTCCACGTCCAAGGTGGTGAAGCTCGTCGACAGCGAGAAGACCGCTGTGCTCTTGTCACTGGCGATTTTCTGCCACCTCGGCAACACCGCCGCGTTCCTGGCGGACATGCGAGGGCTGGGCGGAGCGGCGACTGCGGCAGTGGCGTCGTTCTAAATCATAAGGGAAGATAAATGTTGAGGTTTCCTACTCAAAGCATCAACCACCACATTAGCTTTACCCAGATAACAACTAAGATTAAAATCCTAGTCCTTAAGAAATTCTAACTATCTCTTTTGTCTCATATTCAGCTTTTTCAGGTCAAATAGATATTTAAGACTCTTATGATCACTAAATACATCAAGCTTAGAACCATACCAGTAGTGTCTTCAAATGTTACTGTAAATATTATAACCGCTAACTCAAGGTCATGGGTAAGGTAATTCCTCTCATGAATTTTCAATTGCCTAGAAACATAAGCTACTACCTTTCTTTCTTGCATCAACACTCCACCCAAACCCATCTTAGAAGCATCACTATATACCACATAAGACACTACTAGAAAAATAACGTATTCGCAGCTTGTGATTTCGACATGAAATTCACATATGTTCTAGGAGGGTGGGAAGGAACAACATCTGATTCAAGAATATTAAAGGATGTCCTAGGTAGAGAGGATCCACTTATCATACCACAAGGTTAGTTATTATTTACTTCGTAATTAGTGTATAGTAACGTACTTACGATATTATAATGAGTATAACTTCAATGACTTTAATTAGGTAAATACTACTTGGGGATGTTGGATTTATGTTAAAAGGACAAATAATTATGTCGTATCGAGGGGTTCAATATCACCTTAAAGAGTATTCTCGAAGAGCTCCACAGAACCCAAGCGAATTGTTTAACCATCGACATTCCTCACTTAGAAATGTGATTGAAAGAACATTTGGTGTCTTGAAGAAAAGATTTCCTATAATAGCTAGTGGAATCGAACCTCATTATTCATTCGATACAATGACGAATATTGTACTAGCATGTTGCATTTTACACAATTTTCTTCGAGGCGTAGACAATGATGAATTGTTGTTAGCAGAGGTCGATCGAGAGTTGATGGAACAACCTGTGGATACAATGTCAACTCAAGCTCGTGAGGATGATCATAGGCAAGGGTCAACTATACGGGATGCTATAGCATATGAAATGTGGACAAATTATACTAATAATTAGATCATGTATTTAATAATGTATTTAATAATATGTACTGTTGTAATTGTAATAAATTATTCTGTTACAAGTTTTCATTCATAAATTTTACATATCATTATCATCATTGCATGCCTTGTTTTTGCAATAGGTGGAAAATGAACAGAGGAAAAAGTGTTGTACCTGATTCCTCGACTACGGTCCGCGAGTTCATGAAATGGACTGATGACATGGACTTTCGTTTATTGACTGCCATGCTTGA